ATTTTCTTTCATGTTCGTTCTATTATTTTTGCTTGATTGTATGAGAATGCATATTTGCGTGTTTATTTTAAAAATTAAGAGTAGTAGTTTTGTAATTTTTATGTAGCTTAATTGTATGACTTTGGATTGCCGATTAATCAAGCCAACTATGACAATGATGCCTTGATTTTATTATTTAGTACAGCCTTCGAATTACTTCTTGTCAAATGTATATATGCAGTAAAAATGGGAGAAAATGGATCTTTTGAGATAGTTCTATTTGGTAGAATTGACTTCCATGAGAAAATTCCTAATGAATCAAATTTTAGGTCTAGCACAACAGAAGAAGACGGCTAATTTTATTTAAACCCTATCAATTTCATATCACTATGGCCTGTAGGTTGAGGCGGTCCAAGGACATCCTGTTTCGGTTCGGTTAACAGGAGTCTTGGCACTCGTATGTAATGTAACCTGACAAATTTCATCAAAGCTCGTATCACACTTAAAAAGCCACAAAATAGGACTAAGTAGAAACGAAAGACCGGCTCTATCATACCAAGAATATATACTTAAACATAAAAATTATTATATATATATCAATATATAGATGCAAAACAATCTTATATCATTTCAGGTTAATTTAAGTCCATATGTATTTGAGTGCATGTGGGTTGGGGCGTGTCCCTGATTCTAAGGCAAGTGGCGAAACATCCAATCATAAAATTGAGTAATTGTAATAGAGCAGAACAACATCCTAGGGACGGTCTAGGATTTAGGGACCCAACTAGAGGAAGAACTATTATTGTGTAATCGCGAAGGCAGACCGAGTTTAATTGATGGGACTGATAGGCGTGTATGATGAATGTGACCAATTGAGTCACCATCTTTTGTCACTGGCCTAAAAGCCTTTCCTCCCATAAGAAAAAATATATTTATAATAAGTAGTATTTACTCAAATTCATGTTTCCATTGCCCATATTTGACTTATTCCCTATTCTAGTATTCTAATATCATTAGTACTTTGATCAGCAAACTGATAACAGTACAGAAGTTGTTTGACCTTGTTTTCGTAACTTGGTCATGTTGGCAGGTAGACCTAGAGGAACACACCTTGTCTGGAGTCCATAGTATGCATGATCATTTCCAGAGTCGGGCCGTGGACTTGGTACCTTCTCAGACGTTTCGCCGGCATCGTAGTCGGCATCGTCAGTGCGTTGCCATTCTCAGCAACCAGGTTACAAATATTCAAAGAGACAAGTATCTTTGAATGTACCAAGTCCACGGTATGACTCCGGAAATTATCATTCATACTAGTGACTCCGGACAAGGTGCGTTTCTCTAGGTCTTTCTGCTAATATGACCAAGTTGCGAAACCAAGGTCAAACAACTTCTATATAACGAAAGGAGACCCTTTCAATACAAAAAGCCACACCGTCCTCGTCTTCATACCTTTTATAACAGTACATTTTCACTTGCAACAAAGTCATTTCACAGAGGATAGTTATGACACTATCGCAGATTCGACTTGTAGCCATCAAAGCATACCGAAGAACAATTTTTAACGTTTAAAGAGGATGGTCATTTGTGAGGCTATTGAAATAAATTCCCAATATTAACGGGACTATCACATCATCCTATATGATGTTGCTATTTCCGATATTCTACCTACAAAGCTTGAATAGAATGTGCGGTCTCATAAAAGTTTCACGTAACTATGGATGTTGCTAATTCTAAACGAACTTATCCCCGTGCCACTTAAAGCAATTTTACCTTCTCACCTAGCCTGTTGTGACCCAGTCCTGAGGCACTTTGTCTAGAATATTTTAATGCTACCTATCATCGGAATCAGCTATGCGGGCCTTAGAAAATCTGAAGATTTTAACAGTTTCAAATCATTGCAAAAGGCTGCATCATTTTATTTATAGAAGTGTATAACGAATGTTACCAATATTTTGACTCATTTTTATCAAGCCTTAACATCTTCTCCATCTATATATTTAGAATAAGAAGTATTTACTCAATATTATGCCTCAATTGCCCACATTTGGCGTCTTCTTTAAGTCACTAATTTAGATGGCCTCCTTTCTCCTGCATCTAGCATTAAAGGTACCATATTCAACAAACCAATTAGTATCCGACTTCTCCTCTGTGCGCAGTCACTGATGGCTGTTTGTGTCAGCGTTCTTAATAAACATTTTCTTAATCTTCTACTCGTCTGTAAGTAGGACAATAAGACTATTTAGCATAGGGCCGACTATATTAATATGCGATTTTACTTACCAGGATCTAGATAATGGGTCATATTTCTATCTGATCATTTGCTTAGCAGCTCCCAAATATTTTTTTGAAAGAAGGATTGACGCTAAAGCTAGGACACCTTATCAACTAATATAGTAAGATAATACTATGAAAGTTATTTACCCAATTTCGATTAAGGTGATGAATGACCGGTAAAAGAAGAATTTTCCCACAATGATATTAGTTGAGCTGACGTTTCCATTGAATTTCACACAGCCTTGCCTTCCCAAAAGTTGTTCTCATCTAGGGTTGACTGTAGTTTCGACCTCGCATCGGTCTTATCAACACCCTCAGCAGGATTCGAACAGCGACAGTGCAGGATGGGAGCTTGACACGCTAACCACTTGGCTATACTTCCACGAGTGCCCTTTGGGTCACAGGGCAATTGTGAATTTGAAGGAAG